CCTCCCTAACCCCAATCCATCCCCTTTCCACCAGTCCCACCCCAACACCCCCCCCCACCCCCCATAACTCACCCTTAAAAGCCGTGTCTTGGTCGCCGTCTTGGCCTCCGGGCGGCGGCCGTCTCACAAGGAGTTTGATCCTTCTTTTACTTTATCACGACCCTTGGGATTGGGGCTTGGGGAGGGGTGGGAGGGGAGGGGTATAGGATGGGGTGAGGGAGGGAGGTTAGGGGTTGGGGGGGTGTGAGAGAGGGGAGAGGAGGGGAGGGGGAAGGTTTTTGGGGGGTAGGAGGGAGAGGAGGGGAGGGAGGGAGGGGAAGGGAAGGGGAGGGGAGGGGAGGAGGAGGGGAGGAGGGAGGAGGATCTGGTGACAAGAGGAGGGGGAAGGAGTGGGGAACGAGGGTTAAAGGGAAAGGAAGAAAGGGAGGAACCGTAAGGACACACACACACACACACACACACACACACACACACACACACACACACACACACACACACACACACACACACACACACACACACACACTCACTCTGCTCTCTCTCTCTCTCTCTCTTCTCTCTCTCTCTCTCTCTCTCTCTCTCTCTCTCTCTCTCTTCTCTCTCCTCTCTCTCTCCCTCTCTCCCTCTTCTCTCCTCTCTCTCTCTCTCTCCCTCCCTCCCTCCCTCCCTCCCTCCCTCTCCCTCTCTCCCTCTCTTTCCCCTCTCTCTCCCTCCCTCCCTCCCTCCCCTTCTCTCCCTCTCCCTCCCTCTCTCCTCTCTCTCTCCCTCCCTCCCCCTTTCCCCCTCCCTCCCTCCCTCCCTCCCTCCCTCCCCTCCCCTCTCCCTCTCCCTCTCTCCTCCTCCTCCCTCCCTCCTCCTCTCTCCCTCTTCGCAAACACCTTCCCGAGATCCCTCAAGGCTCGCAGCGCGATCTGGAGGAATTAATGTCTAAATCTTTCTCGAATTTCTCGAGATGCTTCTCGAGAGGACATCATTGCGAGCCCAAGGCAGCGTGTAAGGGTGAGGGAGAGAGGAGGAGAGAAGAAAAGGGAGGAGAGTGGGAGAGAAAGAGAGAGGGAGAGGGAGAAGGAGGGGGAGGAGGAGAAAGGAGAGGGAGAGGGGAGGGAGGGGGGGAGAGGGAGGTGAAGGGAGAGGGAGAGGAGGTGAGGGGAGAGAGGGGAGGCGGAGAGGCGACGAGGCAGAGAGGAGAGGAAGGGGAGAGAGAGAAGGAGGGAAGGAATGAATGAGAAGGATGGTAGGCAAGAAGAGACAAAGAAAGAGAACAGAGATTCAGACAGCAAGAGAGAAAGAGTAAATTTTGAGGAAAAGCAAAAAAAAAAAAGACAAAAAAAAAAAAAAAAAAAAACTGGGGCTTCAGAATTTCAGCACCAAAAGCTAGTCTGACAAGTTCAACCCCGAGTCTGAGCACATGTTCCAGACCCGCGTGTGGCGGAATGGGCGGGGCGGGGGGGGGGGGGGGGAAGGGAGGGCGGGCGTGAAGAGGAATGAGGAATTGGAGAAGGAAGGAGTTGAGGGTCGAAGGAAGGAGGAAGGGAAAAGGGAGAGGTTATTGAAGAACATTGGGAATAGAGAGGAAAGGGAGGACTACAGAGAGAGGAGAAGAAAACAACGCAAGAACAGAGAAATAGAGAAAAGAAGAGATGAGAAAAGTGAAAGAATAAAGAGAAAACTGAAGGGGAGAGAGAGGGAGAGGAGAGGGAGAGGGAGAGGAGAGGAGAGGAGAAGAGAGGGGGAGAGGAGCACGAGGAGTAGAGGACGAGAGGCAGAGGAGAGGGAGAGGGAGAGAAGATGGAGACGAGAGAGAGCAGAGAGAGAAGAAAGACGAGAGAAAGGAGGAGAGGAAGGGATTAGGAAGAGAGAGAGGAGAGGAGAGAATAGAAAGAGAGGACGACGAGAAAGAGAAGAGAAGAGACAGAGCGAGATGAGGAGGAAAAAGAAAGGAAGAAAGAAAGAGAAGAAAACACAAAAACAAGAAAGAACAAAGAGGGAAAAGAAAAGAAGAAAAAAGAAAAAGAAGAAGAAAAAGAAAGGAAAAGAAGAAAGAAAGAAAGAAAGATAAGAAAGACACAGAAAGAAAAGCAAAGAAGAAGAGAAAGAGAGAGAAAGAGAGAGAGGAAGAGAGAGAGAGAGAGGAGAAAAAAGAAAGAAAGAGAAAGAAGGAGAGAGAGAGAGAGAGAGTGAGTGATGAGAAGAGAAAGGAGAGAAGAGAGAGACGAGAGAGGAGAGAGAGGAGAGAGAGAGCAGAAAGGCGAACAAGCAAGCCAATAGCGATAATAAGGGGGAGGAGAGGAGAGGGCGACGCTTCGTAAGGAGGCGAGAAGCAGGCGAGAAGCAGCACTTGGGGCTTCATAAGGCGGCAGCTTCCTCCACGCCTCTCCGCAGCTGCTTGGGAGAGCTGCGGGGAGGGAGGGGAGAGGAGGGGAGGAGGGGAGGTGGATGGAGTTTTGCTGGAGGGGGAGGAGGGGAGGGTGGGAGGTCTGGGGAGGAGGAGGGGAGAGGGGGTGGAGGCGCTGGGGAGGAGGGAAGGAGGTGAGATGCTGGGGAAGAGGGGAGGGTGCGGAGAGGATGGGGAGGAGGGGAGGGAGTGAAAAGAGAGGAGAAGGAGAAGGAGGAGAAGGGGCAGATCATGGAGGGATGGTGAGAAGGAGGGAAAGGGAAAGAAGGGACGATAGAAGGAAGAAGGAAGAGAGGAAGGAGATACGGAGAGAGGGGAAAGGGAGGGGGGGTGGACAGACGAGGGGTCAGAGGAGGGAAGGAGGGAGGAAAGCAGAATGGAAGAGGGGAGGGAGACTGGGGGGGGGGAGACGCTGAAGGAGGGACGGGGGGGGGAGGGGACGGGAAGGGAGAGACAAGGAGAGGAGAAAGCGGGGGCGGCGAGACAAAGACGACGAAAGAGAGGAGAGTTTCGATACGAAAGGCATCTTTATAAGAGGGGCCTTTCCTGGTCTAGAGCCTCGTCGGGGCGATCTCTCTCTCTTCTCTTTCTTCTCTTTCTTCTCTCTCTTTCTCGCTCTTTCTCTTCTCTCTCTTTCGCTCTTTCTCTCTCTCTTCTCTTTCTTTCTTTCTTTCTTCCTTTCTCTCTCTCTCTCTCTCTTTCTCTCCTCTCTCTCTCTCTCTCTCTCTCTCTCTCTCTCTCTCTCTCTCTCTCTCTCTCTCTCTCTCTCTCTCTCTCTCTCTCTCTCTCTCTCTCTCTCTCTTCTTTCTCTCTTTCTCTCTCTCTATTTTTTTCTCTTTCCCTTTGTGCCGATATACAGTTTATGTGTACATGGCTTAACCTTATATATGTTTGTTTTTGCATGTATATATGTACGCGTGTTCGCATGCATGTACGTGTGTATATAACGCACACGCACACGTACACAAGGGACTCTACTTTAATTACGTACAGCTTCAGCCTCATTCCTCCCCAGTTACACCTGCGGTTCCTTCGCGTTCGGGTCCCTTGGGGATGGGGGGGGTAGGGGTGAGAAAGAGTGGATTGGAGAGAGACGGAAGGAGGAGGGAGGGAGGGGAGGAGGCGGGGAAGAGAGGAGGGAAGGGAGAGAGGAAAGGCGAGGGATGGGAAGGAGTGGGTTGGAGAGAGGAGGAAGGAGGAGAGAGAAGGGAAGGGAGCGAGGGAGAGGAAGGGAATGGGAGGAGCGAAGGGAGGAGCGAGGAAGGGGGGAGCGAGGAGAGAGGAAGGAGGGAGCGAGGGATAGAGGAAAGGGAGCGAGGCGAGGGAGAAGGGAGGAGCGAGGAGAGAGGGAGCGGAGCAGACAGGTCCGAGGATTATAGCCGATCGGGGCGGAATCGAAGAAGGCGAGGGTCTTAAGCAGGTTAGCCGAAGCAGAAGCAGGTGTGAGGGTCTGGCGAGGCGAAGGGGGAAACGTGTTTTAGCATGTGTGGATGGGAGAGGGGGTGGGGTTGGGATAGAGAGGGTTGGGTTGGGGGTAGGGAAAGAGAGGGGGTAGCGGTGGGAGAGGGGTTGGGGTAGGGGAAAGAGAGGGGGTTGGGGGTGGGGTAAAGAGATGGGGTTGGGTTTGGGGTGGGAGAGGCTTGGGCGGTGGGGAAGGAGAGGGGATTGGGGTGGGAGAAGGAGAAGGAGGAGAGGAAGAGCAACAGAAGGTAAAGGGAGAGGACGGTGGAAGGTTAGGAGAGGGGGGGTGGGGTGTTGCAAGAAGGGTTGTCAACCATACTAGTTTGAGTTGCACCGTCACTGCCGCATCAGTATGCATGGCTTCTCCCTCACAGTGGCCCAACCCCCCACCCCCCTCCCCTTCTCCCTCCTTCCTTCACCCCACAATTCCTCCTTCCCTCTCTCCTTTCCTCCTTTCCTCCTTCCCTCCCCACAACACCCCTCCCCCCCCCTTCCCTCCTTCTTTCTCTCCTTCCCTCACCCCACAATTCCTCCTTCCCTCCCTCCTTCTTTCTCTCCTTCCCTCACCCCACAATTCCTCCTTCCCTCCCTCCCTTCTCCTCCCTCCCTCCCCTCCCCACACAACCCCCCCCCCTTCCCTCCCTTTGTACAAGTGCCATCGTTTCTCATATTTCATCCATTCGTGTCTCCGCCTCCAGGCTTATCCCCTTCAATTCCTCAAAATCAGACCCTCTCTCTCTTCCTTCTCCCATCCATGTCTTTTTCTGTTCTCTTCGCGCTTCTCTCTTCTTGAGGGCCTCTAGACCCCCTCCCCCGGTCCCCTCCCTCTTCCCCTTCCCAGTCTCCCCCCTCCCCCCCGCGCCTCTTTCCGATGGGATTAGTTCAATCTGGAATCAAGGCAGCGAAGGTATGTTCGGAGCGGCCTGTTGAATGAGCGATGAGGAGGCGCGGCTGCGAGTGAGGTGTGAGGGGAGAGATCGACTCTCGTTTGAAAGGGAGAGGGAAGGGGAGTTCTCGGAAGGATAGGGTAAGGGCAAGGGAGGGAGAAGGTAAGGGAAAGGGAGGGAGAGGGTAGGGTCTGCTCGTTTTCTTTGCCTCTTCCTGCCGCGGCGTGGTGTCTGACCTTCCCTTTGCTTCGTTGCAGCAACGTGACAGCTACATCCGGTCGGTGAAGCTGTTGCCCGACGGCCGGACCCTGCTGGTGGGCGGCGAGGCGTCCACCCTCAGCATCTGGGACCTGGCCACGCCCACGCCCCGGATCAAGGCGGAGCTCACCTCCGCCGCCCCCGCGTGCTACGCCCTGGCCATCAGCCCCGACTCGAAGGTGTGCTTCAGCTGCTGCAGCGACGGCAACATCGCGGTGTGGGACCTGCACAACCAGACGCTGGTGCAGCAGGGCCACACGGGACGGCGCCTCCTGCATCGACATCTCGCCCGACGGCACCAAGCTGTGGACGGGCGGCCTGGACAACACCGTGCGGTCGTGGGACCTGCGCGAGGGGCGCCAGCTGCAGCAGCACGACTTCACCAGCCAGATCTTCTCGCTGGGCTTCTGCCCGACCGGCGACTGGCTGGCCGTGGGCATGGAGAGCTCCAACGTGGAGGTGCTGCACGTGAACAAGCCCGACAAGTACCAGCTGCACCTGCACGAGTCCTGCGTGCTCTCCCTCAAGTTCGCCTCGGCCGGCAAGTGGTTCGTGTCCACGGGCAAGGACAACCTGCTCAACGCGTGGCGCACGCCCTACGGCGCGTCCATCTTCCAGGTAAGTCACGCTCCCTCTTGTGTCATGCCCAGTTAGTGCTGCAATCCTTGCGCCACACGATTGAGTCCCCCTTTGGATCAGAGTCAGGTTACGAATCATGACCTCTGACCCCATGTCGCTAACGGCCGCTCTCTCCCCGCAGTCGAAGGAGTCCTCGTCGGTGCTGAGCTGCGACATCTCGTCCGACGACAAGTACATCGTGACGGGCTCGGGCGACAAGAAGGCCACCGTCTACGAGGTCATCTACTAGACCCGTGCCGCCGCCGCGCCCCGCCGCCGCAGCCCCGCCGCCGCAGCCGGGGCGACAGGCGACCCACCTTTGCCCTGCTCAAGCGGGAGACCAGAGCTCCCCCCCCCCTCCGCTACCACGCTAAGGAGAATTCGGCCCCCCCTGCCCCCACCCGCCCCAGCGCCCCAGGTGACGTCATCCATGAAGTTGTCCGTCACCCGGCCATCCAAAACACCCAACGACCTCCAAGTCACCGCCATCGTTTCACGCCACCAAGTTTTCTCACACTGCTCACGATGACACTTGTGTTCTGTCAAGTTTTCTCAGGTTATCACACAAGAAGTGGAACCCAAAGTAACTGAAACGTTTTCCCTTTTGATTCCCGTTTCTCTCCGCGGTGAAATGGCCCCGTTTGTCCCGGCCTCTTCGCCCTCTCCCCCTTCCTCCTCCTCCTCCTCCCTTCCTCCTCCTCCTCCTTCCCGCATCCGTCACAAAAGGAGTGCTTCTGAAGGCGCCTCCTTGTCCCCGCCCCCCCTCCCCTCACCCCCCCTCTCCACCCTACAAGCGTCTCTGAAGGGCCATCCACAGATACTTTGTTGACCTCCTCGACTCCGTTCAGCTCCCGAGATCACCATTTTACACCCGGAAAGGAAGGAGTCGGCTCCGAGCCCTCGAGGGGCGCGAGCCTCTTGAAGGGGGGCGCTCGAGTCCCGGAAGAACAAAGGGAAAATCCAGCGCCATGCAACCCGGTTATGCTGCAACCTGCCATTTGAGGAAAAATAATAACAGTGAGGAACAGTCTCTTGTGAATGTTAGTGCAATTGCATCTCTCTTACTGGACACTTTTGGTGCGGTGCTTAAGTCAGTAGAATACTAATACTCGATGCGTGCGAACCGAACAGACATAGTGTAGCAGAAAAAAATAAGACACGAAGGAAAAGGAGATTAAGGAAATGCTAAAATATGCAAACGCGAAAACGAGAAGGAAAACAAAGAGAAAGAGAAAGTCTCGCCAGGGAGAGGAAGGCACATCAGCCCGCGGATCGAGGGGACGAGTGACGCGGCCCGGAATCTCCCCTCACACGACGCGGCCTCTTGAAAGAAAAAAAAAAGAAAGATACGGACACACACGAAGAGGATCCCGCGAGGACACTGAAGGAGGAGGGACACAAGACGCAGGATGTAGTGTGCCATACTGATGAGACCAATTTTTTTTTCTTTTATTTTTTTGGCGCAGTTCTTTTAATGTTGGAGATAGCGTTGGTGACTCACGGAGGAGCGATTAAGTGCAGTGCGCGCGAGCCTGTGGCGAGCGCTAAGTGGGGCTATAAAAGTAAAGTGTGAAGGAAGTGACTGCCAAGTGAAGGAAAAGAAAAGAAAGAAGGAAAGAAAAAAAGGCGAAGCGAAACGAGAAGATAACAAGAGGAGGGATTTTGATATTTTTTCTCCCTCTCTCTCTCTCTCTTTCTCTTTCTCTATCTCCGTCTTTCTTTCTCAAATACGTAAAGGGATTCCCGGTGAAGCGGAGGGAAGAATGTAAGCTCGGAGTGACAGATAGGAAAATAGAAGAAAAGGAAGAGAGAAGAAAGAAAGAGAGAAAAAAAGCACGTGAGGAAAGAATTCGAGGAAGGCAGTCAGAGAGGCGTGAGAATTTCTTCAAGGAGGTATGTGTGAAGAAGGAGAAAAAGGAAGAGGGTGAAGAAGAAAGAGGAAGAAGAAATGGAAAAAAAGAAGAATGTGTCGGTGTTGATAAAGTGCTTGAAAAAAGAGGAGCAGAAACGGAATGAAATCTGTGTATGTTTTTTTTTTTTTTTTTTTTTTTTTTTTTTTTGGTGTGTGTTGTGTTGTCTGACTTTTTTTGTTGTATGGGAAAAGGGTGCAAAGAGACGCCAAGGATTGAGAAAAATGGAAAAAAATATATAGTGATTTTCAAAGACAGGACTTTGGCACGGAAGGAAAAAATAACGAAATGAAAAAGGAAAAAAAAGTGAATGTTGGTTAAGGCTTTTTTTCGAATGTTGAAAATGGAAAGGAAGAGGAACCGCACGAGAGGAAGGGAAATGTATGAAGGACAATAACAGTCTGTTTAGCAAATTTGAAGTGAACTGAAGAAGAGAGGAAGAGAGAACGAAGAGAAAAAAAAACTCTTTCTTCTAGATGGCAGTGTATATATGTGATTTCTCTTGGCTGAGTCTCGTTCCTTTTTGTGAAGAAGAAAAAATAAAACTGTATGTATATGTGTGTGCACAATTTGACAAATGTCTTGAGAAAAAGAGAAAAAAAGACATAATTTTATTCCTGAACATTCGAGACAACTGAGAAGGTGTGCATTCTACACGTAAAAAAAAAATATTAATTAAGAAATATATATATGATCATTATTTTAGAACGAATAATCAGACAGTTCATGATCGCAGTGAAGACATTTAATTAAATAATAATAGATTTATAACGAGTGTTTAATATCAGGTTAGGTTACAGTAGTTGAACCGTCTGACATCTTTGTATCGTTTCATTCTAGTGCAAAAAAAAGTAATTATCCTGGGTTTTATTGTGGACTGAAGCATTGAAGGACTTCAGAACTCGTTGATGTATAAAAACGAAAAAAAAAAATTAAAAAGACTTTTTTTTAATATTCTTTTTTTTCTCTCTGAAAAAAAAAAACAATTATTTATAATCGTTTGATAAAGCAAATGTTATATGTGGGAACACATCGTGTTGGTGTAATTTTAACGAAAATTTGAATAATATAAAAAGTATCGTTAACGATTGCTTTGTTGCGACTGTGATAAAAAGTTTATAATGTAGTGAATCTTGCGTAATGGGCTGGGCACGAGGGGGCGGTGGGAGGGGGGGAGGGGAGGGGAGGGGAGGTCGACCTGTGTAACATCTTGTACATTTCCTTGGTACTTACTCATGCTTGAAAGGCGCCGCTTTTTCCTTTTTTTTTTTTTTTTTTTTTTTACTTTTGTGAACATACTCTTGAAAACACTCACACGCACACAACACACACACACACACACACACACGCCCACACACACGCCACACACACACACACACCACACATTACGCACACACTGAGCTAGACGAACAACAAACTACACGATACTAGCAATGTCACAAAAAAATAGAATGGCCACATCAAGTAAGAAACAAAACATACAATTTTAAGATTCCAGATACTTAAAAAAAAAAAAAAAATTGCGGCGTTAAAACAAAGTCGACCAACCAGAACCCCCCCCCCTACCCTACCCTATGAACCCCACCCCACCCCCTCCCTTGTGTTCAAAGGAAGGACTCCTCTGTTGTCTCCTAAGGAAGCACCCCCCCCCCTCCACACACCCCATCAGTGAAAAATAAAGACCATAATGGGAAAGCCAAACGCAGTATAGTCGAATTATTATTAATTATTATTATATTATTATTCCTATTCCTACTACTGCTAGTATCACTATTACTATTTGTATTTATTATTCTATTTGTACTGAAAAAAAGGGTACAGTTCCAATTCCAGCAGTTTCCTCACCTGTATGTTTGTGTGTGTTTATATATACTTATATACAATGGACGACATGTGGGTAATGGGACATCACTGTGCTTATCCGATGTACACTGATGTACTACGGGAACAGATGTACAGATCTGCTCACGAGAGGTCTATGCAAATCAGCTGATTGTCCGGTAACTTGACCTGACCTGACCTTGGTGTGACCTGCTTGGCCTGGGTTATTTATTATCTACGAGAGTGTGTGTGTGAGGAGAGTGAGGAAGCTGCTGGGAGTGTGGTTCCTCCTCCTCCCCCCCTTCCTCCTCCTACTTAAGAGGGTTGAGGGAGGGAGGGAGAGGGAGAGAGTGGAAGGGAGAAAGATTGAGAGGGAGACTAAAGATCAGAAGAGAGATCTAGAGGGAGATAGGTTCAAGAGGAGAGAGATGGTGAGGGAAAGATATTGGGAAGGAAGACGAGTTGAAAGAGATTGAGATAAAAAAAAACAAGAGATAGATTGATAGAGAATAGGTGAGAGAGAGAGAGTGAATGTGTGTGTGTGTGTGTGTGTGTGTGTGTGTGTGTGTGTGTGTGTGTGTGTGTGGTGAAGGAGAGAGAGAGAGAGAGAGAGAGAGAGAGAGAGAGAGAGAGAGAGAGAGAGAGAGAGAGAGAGAGAGAGAGAGAGAGAGAGAGAGAGAGAGAGAGAGAGACCAACCAGCCAACAACAACCGACCTTCACATCTCCCTCTCCCTCCCTCTCTCCCTCTCCCTCCCCCTCCTTCTCCCTCTCTCCTCTCCCTCTCCCTCCTCCTCTTCTCTCTCTCTCTCTCCGTGCTCTATCATGCCCCGACGGAATTAAAGACGCTCAAAGCTGTGTTAAGATTAGCGTGATACAAAAACATAATCCCCGAGTTTTAGAGATTACAGGATCGGGGTGAAAATTAATTGAAGATTCTTACCCGATTATTGAAGAGATTTACATACATACGCTATTTGCACAGCCGGTGTTGCAGAGACGGCCTCGTCACCTCCAGAAAATCTTGACAATGTTGCAAGCTTGTTTGAACTGATTTTTTTTTCTGTATGCAAGAGGTGTGTGTGTGTGTGTGTGTGTGTGTGTGTGTGTGTGTGTGTGTGTGTGTGTGTGTGTGTGTGTGTGTGTGTGTGTGTGTGTGTGTGTGTGTGTGTGTGTGTGTGTGAAGAGAGAGAGAGAGAGAGAGAGAGAGAGAAGAGAGAGAGAGAGAGAGAGAGAGAGAGAGAGAGAGAGAGAGAGAGAGAGAGAGAGAGAGAGAGAGAGAGAAAGAAAGAGAGAAAGAGATGAAGAGAGAAAAGCGAGTAAGATAGAGAAAGACAAAAAAGAAAAAAAAAAAAACAAAACCCAAAACCTCCCCAAAATCTCTCCCTCCCACTTCCAAAAAAAAAAAAAAAAAAAAAAAAAAAAGAAAGAAAGAAAGAAAGAACAACAACAAAAAACCCTCTCGATTGTTACAATTGTTCGACTCCACTTATCGCGCGATGCTTCTTAATCTTGCTCTCCTTTAACTCGTGCAGGTCGGTCTAATTAGCCACCTGTCCAGATAAGGCGGCTGACTAATTGACGCGACCCAAGGCCATCGGAACTGGAACCCGACGGAGGGAAGAAAAAACAGGAGAAAGAGTAAATGGAAATGAGGCGAAGGAGTTA